AAGATAGGAAGCCTAAAGGCAATTCTGCCCTTTACCCTCCCTCATCTTTCAGTTAATAGCCCTTTGCTTAAAACATGAATATTGATCACACCACATGCATGCAGTTAAAATACCTAAGGGCTAGCTTAAGTGTGTGCATAAAGTAAATCAAACCTGTCAATCACACTAGCTAGCCCCTCCTACAGAGACCTGCCGTATGCCCTTTGAATTATAAAAAGCCTTTTAAACAAAGGTGCGCATGCTTTTACGACACCTGCTTCTGCCTCACTTGGCTTTCTCTATAACTTTCCCTCACTTTTAAAAACGTTACTACATTTCTGAGTCATGTTTCGATTCTTTCCATGCAGGATGTAAGAACCTAGGTGACTTCTGATCAGATTTTCCCACAGACTATCCACCCAGTAACAATTGTTGCCTGGAGGGTGGTCTGTGCCGTGGGGGTTTTACTGTTCCTTTTCTTGTGGGCAGTGTTTTTCCATTCCTCCTGGTAAACATGTTGTAAGGGTGAACAAAAGGAGCTACGTTAGAAGTGGACCCCTTTCCCCTTGAAGGTGACTTACTGGAAACTCTCCACCTTTAGCCATTTACTAGAAACTCTCCACCTGGCCTGGAAGAAATGACTTGCCCTTAAAGCTGTTATCTCGGAGTGTCACAGGGCGTTGAGGATTTTCTTGCCTAGTGATTTTCCTGGGACTTCTCCACCCACCTCCTGTACCTACCCCCAGTCCGTAAACAGCTCAGGGCTCCATCTCTCTTCCTGGGGACCCCTTCTGCAGGACCACTTCTCCACAATAAATCCTGGATTGGGGTTGAGCTGTCTTCCCACCTACCTTTTTGGTACCTCTTTCATTCTAACACATGTTATCCATAAATCCTGTCCTTTCTTGATTCTAAGTTGGCTGCAAGGTACATAGGCAGGGATGACAAGTTTTTATCTGCTTTCAGTTAATCTGTGGGCTGAAGGAAGGAGTCAGTTCTCAGTAAAAGCAGCTTTTAAGCACCTTTACAAAGACCTTCTGACTGCTTCATGGGTGAGGTGGAACCTGGACCTTGAGGGTAGAGTAGAATTTTAGGAGACTTTTCCATATAGAGGCAGTTGCCTAAAAAAGCCATAGTCAGAGATTCAAGGATATGTTGAGAAATGGTGAGCTTTGAATGCTGTGGTCTCAGATCCTTCTGACTCTCAGGTCCCCATTTTGGGCATCCATGACCTTCCCAAGGCCATAATTAAGGACTCCTGTTTGCCATGACTTCTTCACCAATTGGAATTTGATTCTTGCTTGGCTTCTGGGGAATGCCCTAACAATTAGTTAAATCCACAGTTCTGGAATGGGGTAACACTTGGGCTTAGACACTCCCCAGTCACCAGCCAGTAGAGAATTAAGCCTCCCACTTATAACTTGGTTGTTAGAGGAAGCCCGTTTGTTTGGGTTTGTGCAGCCAGAAGAGTGTTGCTATGGCTATATTGCAGGCAATAGGTCTTATGATCTGAAATAGCAAATTGTGTATATAACATGACAGCATTTATTAAAGCAAGATAAACTCAGTGGGGAAGCATTGGTCTGTGCCATAAATTCCTTTGATCCTGGCTTCTGAACCATCACATTCCATGTGAATGAGGCCTAACAGCTCAAATGTTTTCATTAAACAAGTCAGTTTGTTGAAAATCTCTAAGAGAATGAGATGAGGATTGCCCCTTTCCCTTGTTTTAAAAGAGAAATGCTATGCATTGCTTGTCTCTCAGTCACTGTATTGCTGAGCATGAACAGACCTGCTGAGCTGGGCAATGAGGACCCATCACTAGAAGTGCCTGGACTGGGGCTAGGCACACTGAGCTCTCTTCCTTTTACAGGATGTTGGTGTAGGAGAGGAGGAGATATTTAGATATTAGATCTAGACATTTTTCTAGATCTAAGAATTGAGGACTGTAGGAATCTGTTGAAGGAGGCAATTGAAATTCCATGCACCTCCAATTTACAAGCTGTACCCTCTCACCATGGCCCACCATGGGTTCCGAACGGTTTTCACTGGGAGCCTGGGAGGGAACAGGAACATTGGAACCAGAAGGCTTGGGTTAAATCCAAGTTCTATTATTAATCAGGTAAGTAGCCACAGCCAAGCCTCTGAACCTTAGTCCATCTTGTTCCCAAAGTCAGTACAGTTATCTACCCCTGTCCTTGTAACTGACAACTGAAGAATTCGGGCAAGATGAGAAAATGTAGTGGAAATGATAGCAAAATTTATTAGGTGAGGAGTATACTTTCCATAGACTGAAAGCAAGTCTTCTCTAGAGTGAGAGTGACAGACAGTATGTGGAAGCTGGAATATTCATTGGGGAATTCTCAGCTGCAAGTCCATCTGATCCCTAGCATGCCTATGGACCTCTGGTGCAGGGTCTTTGTCTTGCTAAATTAAAGAGATTACCTGAGTGAAATTCCCAGCCCCAGGTCTATCTGATTGCCCAGGGTTCGCTTCTTTGATCTTAACAGAGACTGTTAAGAGTTGGAGAATTATTGCTGCAGGCCTGACTCAAGTGGTAGAATACCTGCCCAGCAAGTGTGTAAAGCCTGAGTTCAAACCTTTTTTCTACCAAAAATAAATAAATAAATAAATAAAATAATAATAAAAGAGTTGGAAAAGTTTAATACAATGTTTTTCTCTCAGAGACCTTAAAGAATCCCCCAGTTTAGATTCCTCTTGCATGTCCCCATCATTCATGGCTGCTACCTTACATATCTCATATAAAGTGATTGTAGAGGTAGTTAGCACTTATTAGCATTTAATATATATATAAAGCACCATCCTAAGGGCCTCTGATGGATGACATAATTTATTCTCCATAGATGCTATGAAATAAGAAGTGTGCATCTTACTTTACAGAAGAGGAAATTGAGGCATGGAGAAGTTAGGGGACTTGGCAAAGGTGAATCCCACAGACAATCAGCCTCTGGGGATTTAAATCTTTGCATGATAATCCTCGCCTCAACTACATCATATAATTTAATTTCTAGGTTACTCTGGGAAATGGGCATAAAAGTATCACTTAACTCATAAACTGTTAGTCTTGGAATGCTGAGCAAGAAGCTGAATTTTTTTTTTTTTTGAAGCAGGGTCTTGAAGCAGGATAGAGGAGGTGACAGGGAAATTAAAAATAATAAACATTATTAGAACCAGAAAGTAAACTGAAAAAAAACAGAGCAGCAAACTCCCTCCCTGTTCATATCCCCCTCCTCCCCTTGGCTCCCCCCCCCAGCTCTGAAAGTATCAAGACCCAGATAAGAGCTATCATTTTGAGTCTTTACTCTCATTTTCCACATGGAAGCTGGAAATTTCTCTCCCTTTTCTATTCCTCCCTATTTTATCCTGAGGAGCAGATAGTAGGATATCGGCAGTCAAGGAAAGATGGTGGATTCCATGTAGCTGGAGGATTCTACATGGCTGGAGGATTCCACATGGTGCCAGTGGCTCAGGGGCCTCTTTGTCCCATCACGTCCTGGAACTGAGAGGACTTCTGACTTCAGTATCGTGCGGCGCTAGTGCACACAGATGGGGGAACCAATCAAACCCCCCTTGTGTTCACAAGCGGGGGATCCAATCTGGGACAGGGGAAGACCGCGTGGAGAGAGAGTGATAGAAGCCCAGCAAATTGAAATGGAGGTACACCCCACGCCACCTAGGGGAGGGGAAAGGAAGGATCTTAAAAGGGGAAATCCTGGAGGACATCAGCAGACTACCGGTTTCTGGGTCCTCTTCTCACTGGAGTAGTTCCTACTTTACTTTCTTTCCTTATTTCCACAATAAATCTTTGCTAAACTCTCTCACTATTTTCCTGCCTCTTAATTCTCTACCCAGGGAGAAACAGAACCCATACCCCTAGACGGTAACAATCCTTGCTAAAACTTCCACCTATGAGACTCTACTTTTTATGAGTGCTTGAAATGCTCTTCACTGTGGATCTCAAGTTCCTGTGATTTTTGTTTGGAAAGTGGGAAGCCAAGGAACCCCCTCTTCCCTCCTCTGGTAATGTTAGGAAGCAATTAACTAACCATGAGTGATGAATGAGGCAGGACAGATAAAGACAGGGAAATTATATTATTGTAATAAATACTTAGAGGGCCAGACTCAGACATTGGAACAAGTAAAACCTAAAAAGCCAGAACAGCTAGCCCATATCCTCCCATCTCCTTTTAGATCTTTTAAGTTACAAGAACAGGGCTTTCTGCATTCCAGGGCAATCTATATTCACTTTTCTCTCTTTGAAATGTTGACAAACTCTTATCCATCTAAGGAGATGGATAGAGGGAAAGGTTTATCAGCCAAAAGGGAAGATCTAAAGCATACCTTTTTTCCTGTGATTTGGGTAGGCCTGGATGATAACCTCCCTGTTTTAGCAGTCATCTTAGTCACCCAGATCTATTATCTTTGATCACATGTACTCCCCCAGCTCTTCAAAAGTATAAGACTAAGAAATTGGAGCTGCCAATTTGAGTCTTTACTCCCATTTCCTGTCTGGGACCAGGAAATGTTTCTCCTTTTTTTCTATTCCTCCCCACTTTTATCCTATTATACTAAATTCCTTTCCTAATAAACTTTACATTGATTTTACTATCTTTTTGCATTTTGCTTGAATTCATCCTTGTTGGAGGCAAGAACAAAGGTATCTATTAGCACTAAGCTTTCCAGTAATAGTAACAGTCTCCCTAAGTAGCCCAGGCTGTCCTCCAGCTCCCCATCTCTTGCCTCTGCCTCCCAAGTGCTAGGATTATAGGTATGTACCACCACTCTCAGCTAAGAAGCTAAATATTCAGTTTTGTGAACAAGTTTTCCCAACTTTGCTCACAAAAGTGTTTTCTTCTTTCTCAGCCTTTGGCCCCCCTTTCTCCTTTCCTTGTGATGTGAGCACCATCTCTCCTTCCCTTCCTTTCTAACATTCTTCCCCTTGTTCTAATATACTGACTTTGGTAGAAACTAGACTCAGTGATGGAGAGCAGAATAACAGCCAAACTCAAAAGTACTTGTGCTTTTATTAAAAAAAAATACAATCAGGTACTGTCCAGATGTGTTTGGGAAAGAAACATCTCTTTAAAAATCCTTAGTTTTCATCATCATCATTATTATTATATTAATAATATTAATCACTTCCTTGAAATGGAAACAATATTGTTTTTCTGGTTTCAGTTGTATGAAATGTAAAAAAAAAAAGTGGGGTTGGGGCAACTTCCAATGACACATATTTTGTCTTTGCTACCAAAAATAATGACAATTAATTATACAGCTTTGTGTAAAATACAGCTGATTCTAAAACAAACTACCACTGTATAGCCTACCCCTCTCCATTTCCCAGAGCCACCCAAGAGAAGTTAAAAAACACTGTATTGTTGTCACTGGAAGATTTTTGCTGAATCGAACAACAAAATAGAAACCTGCTGTAGACTGGTGTCTTTGGTGTGAAGGAAGTAACCGCAGAGTGGCTGATGCCAGTGTCTTGCTGATCCATGGTCAGCTTCGGCCCTTGCCAAATGTCCAGGTGTGGCCTGATGGTTGTACTGGTTGTACTGATGCTTTGGTAAAATTCGTTCCTTTCTCTGGGCCCTACTCATCTCTCACCCAGATGTTCCTGGAATTTATGCCCGTTTGCGCCTGCCTTCGAGATTTCGGAAATTGCTAGGTCTCAACTTCATCTCAGCAAACTGGATTGAATATTCGTGGCCCTTCCAGTGGAACCAGTTAACACCCTGCAAAAGAGAGAAGACCTCCAGGTTGGTTTCCATTAGGCAGGGTGTTTGTTGATCATCACCTTTTAGTTTTCAAACAAAAAGAGTTTTGTTTCAACTTGACCACTTCACATTTCACAGCAGCTGCCTCTTGTCTATCTCTCTGTTGGTCTATATTGTGAAAACTTTCAAAGGAGCTGGCTCAATCTGATTTTTTTTCTTAAACCAATAGTCAGAAGATACCTAAGTTTGCACTGAGCTCTGACCTCCTTTCTTCAAACAAAATGGTTTGCTCACTTGTTTCCAGGGGAATCTCAAAAAATTGTTTCTGTGATGGCAGAAATCATGCCAGAGTTCAGTGTGATGCAGGGAAAAAACAGGGGGCTGGAAGTAGAGACACAGAGGTCTGCCTCCAATTTCACTCTGTGATCTCAGGAAGGTCAACTATCTCTGGGCCTCCATCCATTCCTAATGTGAAGGGATTTAGTCTGTGATTCTTGCTGCGCTGAAGGTGTTCTGGCTAGGACTCTGCTAGTGTCTGCATCAGCCCTGCTCCTGCTGAACGGGTTCCACTTTTGTGTGATGCACTTTTGGGGTTCAGACAGTGATTTTGTCTAAGGAAATCTTTCTAAGTTTGGAATCCACTTAACCGTGGTTCTCCTTGGGATTTTCAAGGATTAATGTGTTATTTCCATGTGAGCTGACCTGCCAAGACATTGAGATTTCTTGTTGTATTGGGAAGGCAGCACATTGTTCTATTTCTGAGGTGACTGCCCCCTTATCCTAGCCAGTCTGCCCATCCCACTTCTCAAGCTTTGTCCACTCTGGGCTGTCACAGTCCACTCACCTGACTGTGGTTATTGTCCCCATATCTCCCCATCAGGTTGACACGGTGACAGTTCTTGTACCAGAAAGCCCCTTTGTAGGACAGGGCACAGTTGGTGATGGCTGAGTCTGTGTCCTTGTCAAAGGTAGAGAAGGATCTGCCATTATGGTAGGCCATGGAGTCACCTGGGAGAGAGAAGAGAGAGAGAGAGAATGAGAATAAGGACCTGAGAAATCTCAACTGGAGTTTCCCTTCTGGGCTATGAAAGGCAGAACCAGAGCTAACAACTGAAAGATTTCATTCTGGGATGGGCTGGGCTTGAACTTCAGACCATAGTGAAAGTGGGAGTGGACAGGACATGAGTTTCACCTACAGGACTCATTTCTTATTGCACCAGCATAGTGTGATAGAAAAGGCTGCAGGTGGTTCTGGAAAGTTCAGCTTCAAGTTCTACCTCTTTCACTCTCTAGCTGTGACCTTGCACAAATCAAGCCTCTTGCTGACTCTGTTTTCTCATCTGTGAAATAGAACCAGCATGCTGATTCTGTTCTGCTGAGGCAGGAGGATCATGAGTTCCAGAGCAGCCTGGTCATGTAGTGAGACCCCATGTAAAAATAAGCAAACAACAACAAAACCAAATAATATGTGTGCCCTCACCCACACAAATATTTATAGCCATACTTATAATTAAGCCCTCAGATATTAGATGTTGTCAAATACTATAGTATTTTAATTATTTTTTTTTAAACTTGGTATCATATAGCTATTTTTAAAATAATTATTAGACAAGTAGGATTCCCCAATTCTTAGACAAGAATCTCATTTTCATATAATACTATTTGGGGATATAGTTTGTAATTTATTTATTTTTTGTGTGATACTGGGGCTTGAACTCAGGGCCTATACCTTGAGCCACTACATCAGACCTTTTTTGTGATGGGTATTTTTGAGATAGGGTCTCTAGAACTATTTGCCCAGGCTGGCTTCGAACCACAATGCTCCTGATCGCTGCCTTCTGAACAGCTAGGATTACAGGCATGAGTCACCGGCATCTGGCTAGTTTGTAACTTAATATATTGAATTTTAGAAGCATTTCAGTGCCATTTCTTTTTGTGTATCTTCAGTCCCAACCCTCGCAAGTGCTGTGCACAAAAATTTCAAGAAGCCAGGGTATTTCACGCGGATATTAGGAGAAAACTGTCAAATGGACTCGGGTGCCTTGTTAACTGATGAAGCCACCCATGCATGCTTGGAGATGGCATGCAGGTACTGATGAAGCAGGATGCTTTCTGTTGACCATGGTCATCTTAGTACAGGGAAATCTGAGGTGCATTCTCTTGCTGGAAATACAAACCGAGCAGACAGAGGTCACATTCCTGCTGCATGATGGGTTTGCTTGACGTGAAACACTATCAACCCACTTTGGTCTGAAGCCATCTCAGCCAAAGAGGTATTTATTGTCAGCTAATAAAACGTCAGAATTCTTTGAGGCATGCAGGAACTAAAACAATTTCCACTCCTGGCTACCTCTCTTCATTACCAATAAACTACTGTTTCAAAGGAGCTTTGTGCCTCCTTAGATTGCAGCCTGGCTTTGGCAACCCTTAACTGGAGACTTTTCCCTTTCTGGATGTTTTCTTTTAGGGTTCAGAAGGGTTGGAAACATGTCATAACATCTGTCTCTTCTGTTTTCATAATCATAAAAGAAATCCACCCAAAGAGAGCATGGCTTACACAGGGATTGTGTACACTCAGACCTGATCCCTTCTTGTTCCCAGGAAGACCATCAGCCTCAGATATCTGCAACCCCTTACAAGCACCTTCTAGAAGCTTTTTTTTCCTTGTGCAAACACTGAGCTTTCTTGTGTGCCAGTTTCCTTGTCTTTGTAACATCTTCCTGAGAGGTTTTTGTGAGAGTTAGATGGGGATAATGCAGGTGAAATACCTACAAAACAGAATGCTACCTTAACAAATTTATTTCTCATTTATTTCTCCTTTAATGTGGAGCCAGAAAACTGCACAAGGGCAATTTCAAGTAAAGGAATTTTTAAAACCAGAACTAGGGTTGTGGTCCATGTTAAAAAGGCAGAGGGGCGGGGAGGGATGCCTCTTGAGAGGTAGACTAGCAACATCAGCAACATCAGCATTGCCCAGGAACTTGTAAGAACTACAGTAGGCTCTCAGCTCCACCCAGTCATCCTGAGTCAGCACCTACACATTAGCAGGATCCAGGGGGCCAGATGCCCACAGTAGAACAGCTCTGGGTTAGATGAAGATTAAGGTGTTGGAGAGGCCATTTTTCTATCAGTCTATAACTAAAAGGAATAAAAAACTTTTGTTTTCTGTGAGGGTCATTGTAACTCAATTCTGATTGCTCTGATTCCCAACATATTCTATGTTTTAGTGACCAAAATAGCAACCCAATCCCTTTCAATTACTGTTCTGAGTTTGTAACTAGTATGTATTCAAGTATTTGTCCAGTTAATACATGGAGGGATTTGTGAGGGAAGGAATGAAGGAGTGGGGAAATTGGCTGAAAACACCGGGAAGCTTTTCTTGGTTTCAGAGGCTCACCGTGCAGCTGCCTCATACCTGCTGTCCCACTGTACCCCTCCACCTTCAGCCTGTAGCGAGTCTTGGCATCTCCCACGCTGAACTTGTCATAGACAGCAAAGGCTGTCTCCCCGTGGTCTTCCAGGTCTACACGGAGCTCATACTGTCCTTGGGCTGTGATTTTGCTCAGGTTATCCAGCCCTGTGGATGACAGGCAAGGGCTGCTGAAGAGACACAGGTAACTGAGACTATCATTTCTACTTTACCCTGTAAAAGCAGCATTTAGGGACACTCAAAAGAGTGTCAAACAGACTTGGCCTTGAAACTTTTCTGTTCCTCACTAGTACAACACCAGGCTAACTGTATGATGTTTCTTGAGCATTGGGGTGACATCTTACTCTTCCAGCATTCTAATATATCATTCTAAACTTCCTTGCAAATGCAAGGCAACAGATGAGCAGTGGTGCATAAACAATGCTCTGTGCAGCTAGATTGCTAGAAAAGTGTGAGTGGTAGAGATGGGAGGATGAATGGGGTAACAAGGGTGAAATGCCTACAAAAGAGAATGCTACCTTACTATATGTTGTTTTCGATTTATTTAACCTTGAACTTGGAGCCAGAAAACTGCACAAAGGCCATTTCTGGTCAAAAAAATCTTTAAAACCAGAACTAGGATTGTGGTCCAGGTAAAGAATAAAAAGGCCTTTTGAGAGGTGGACCATGGGCCAGCAGCATTGACTTGGGAGATTTCAAACTGCAGCTCAACTACTTATTGGCTACATTGCCATGGGTAAACCACTCAAGTTCTCTGAGGTTCTGCAAGATGGGAATTTTACACTTTGCAGGGTGTTCTAGGTGAGAGGTTGTGCCTATAGAGGAGCTATCTCAGTGCCTGGAGCACAAGAAGAAAGCAGCCAGTGGTACCGGTGAGGACAGCTGTATGAATGCTTCAGTGACTGATTTATGCTCGCTTAATTCATAAGGCCTGACTGTTGGCTCTCCCTTGACCAGACTTTGATGAAAGACACTTCGACATGGAGAGCAGAAATGGGCACTTTAAACACAAACATGCAGGGTTGCATTACCAAGCCAGAATTCTTCTCTTTGGTCCCCAAATCCAGCAGCATAGGCTTTCCAGTTTCGATAGAAGTCTTCCCGTCCATTTTTGCGTCTCAGGAACACCTACAAACATAATCCATGAACCCAGGCACTGAAGCCTTGAAGGAAAAGGATGTCTTTCTGAGAGGATAAAAATTAGGCTGTGGAAAGAGCACCCATCCCTAGCTCTGTCCATCACTAATTTGCCATGTGACACTCTGAGCCTTGGTGTTCTCATCTGAAAGAATAGGGACAAAAAATGCTACCCCGGCTTGGGGACAATGGTATGCCAATGTAGGTTCATCCATTCTAACAAACGCATCACATTGGGTAGGATATTGATAGTGGGAGAAGTTGTGTGGGAAGGGGTTTATATAGAGACTACCTTCTAATCAATTTTGCTATGAACCTAAAACAGCTCTAAAAATAAAACTTATTAATAAAAAATGCTGTTCAGCTTATATGATATTAGGGTTGAAATAATTCCTGTACAACTCTTAGCACAATGCCTGATAGACAGTAAGTGCTTGGCCAATGCAAATTAACATAACTATCAAATAAACTTGATAATCACTGTCATTTATGTATCAGAGTTGTTTGAGGAGGATCAGATCAGATAAATTATAAGAAAATTGTTTTCAGAGCTTTTTTTTTTTTAAATCCCTAGTTTCTTTTCATTCCTATGTTTAAAGAGATAATTCCTGAGTACCTTTGTATGAGACACTGTTCTGCAAAGCCTCATGGACATGGTGTCCTGTACATGTACTCCTCCCTTCCCTCCTTCATAGCTGAGAGCTCTGGAGTCCACCATGATACTCACAATCCATCCACCCCCATCAGAGGTCATGTCACAGAAGACTTGCAGTGCCTGGGCCTTATCACCATTCAGGTAAATGGTGTAGAGACCAGAGGTCGTGTCTCCATTCAGCATTGCTTGGGAGCAGTCCCTGGGAAATGGGTAGAGGAGTCCAACTGCGGGATAAGGAGAAAGAGTGACTCTCAGAGTAGGAGGACTGGGCTAAGAGCTTTCAAATCACAGCTTAACTGTTTATTGGCTAGATTCTTACAGGCGAGCAACAGAACTTGTCCAACTCTGTGTTCCCTCATGTGCAGAATGAGGATAAAATCTGCTTTGTGGTGATGTCATGAAGCTTGGAGAGGGAGTGGGGAGAGAGAGAGAGAGAGAGAGAGAGAGAGAGAGAGAGAGAGAGAAGAGAGAGAGCCATCTTAATCCTTCATACTAATGGGAGCTGTCAACAATATTAGATTGCAGAGCTTTTGTGAGTAATGTGTGTGAGATTAATCTGGCCCTACCTGGAGCATTAGACAGCACCTGATGAACCCCCAGGTACTGGCTGGGGTGACTGGGTTCTAGCACCCAGTGTGTGACTTACTGTGGATCAGGGCCTTCTATTAGGGCACAGGCTGCTTTCAGAGTCTGGTGAAAGCTTTGGAACTTTGAGCTCTGCAGACAGATGCATACCAGTCCACAATATGGATGAATCTCAGGCTCTTCAGAGGCTTCTGAGACAAGGACCCAAATCTCAAACTTGCTACTTGCTTTTTGTATAACACTGGAGAATCTGTTAAAGTATTCTGAGCATAGAAATCCTGGATAAAATAAGGATGCCTGGGAAATTTTTAAGTGAAATAATGTAACTCCCCAAAATGAAAGACTCGGTAGAAATGGACAAGTTGGGCCAGGAGAAGACTATCCATCTCAGCAGTTCTTTTTTCTGACCTGACAACATCTCCTCACTGTATTTATCTTCACCTGAGACAGTAGCATGAGCTGTTTGCTTATTTGTTTCACAGCCTTGGTCTGAGAGCATCTTTAAGGCACACTTAAGCTTTTGTGTTCCCAGAACCTGGCTTAAGATCTGGTGAAGATGGACATGTGGAAGGCAGGGGATGCTCCAGAGGCCAGCTCTTTCCTTCCTCAAGATGATTCTGTCTCTTATGGACAACTTGCTTGTTGTTTACTCAGATGGCAATCTGTAGAAGCTTCTCAGTGATAGGTACTAGAGAGGCTCTTTGACCCTGGGACACCTGAATTCCAACTCTGGCTCTAACAAACAAGGTCATTTTATGGGTCATTTAGTCTATGGAAGCCCTTATTTCCCCACCAAGAAACTGAGGCATGATAACCTTGGCCCACTGTGCCAGCTTGGTGGGAGGACTGTTTGTTATTTTTGAATGTGGATAGGCTTTGTAAACTCTGACGTGCTAAGGAGAAGGGAGCTAATTTCCAGCTTGTATTGAACTTGACAATATAAAGGCCAGGCACTGAGCTAGGAATTCAAGCATAATACCTCATTAGCGCTCACAAGGTCCTTATGAAGAAAGGGTGGCTAGGAGTCCCACTGTATAGGTGAAGAAACAAACTAATTAAATGGAAGTAATATTTCTAAGGCATGTTGAGTAAGGGATGGAGATGGCAGTGAATCCAGATGGGCTCAGCACTGGCTCTTCTCTCTCTCACCAGGATACCTATAACCTTTACCACAGTCCTCAGGCTTCTAAGAAGCAGCAAGAAACAGATACTTTTCAGAGATGTGCTTGAAAAATGGAAAGTAGAAGCCAGTGGGGAAGTGGGGAGTTAACTCAATATCATGAAGTTAGACCTCAAGACCCAGTTGCTGCCTGGGCTCCTTACTTGTAGTGAAGATGGTCTGGATCATTTTGCTCCTCAGGGACCCACTCAGTGCCTGGATCTTGGCTGTGTAGTGGGTGGATGGGCTCAGGTCTGTTAGGCTGTAGGAGGTGGTGTCTGGCCCTACAATGACTTCCTAAAGGCAGAAGAAAGAATACGGCACTTTGGTCACAGATATTCTCAGGGTATAGACAGTACATTCATTCATTCCTCTGTGTACTCATTTATTTACTCAGTGAGAATCCACTGAGTACCTACTCTGTGTTAGGCTTCATACACACACCTGAATATCAGGGATAGGGAGAGTGCTGCATAAGCAATGACCCTGGGGTCAGAAGGGGAAAAGAAAGTTAAGATAGTATCAATAGGTAATACCCTACATCAATTGTACTTGGCTTCAAGTATGCATATGTGTGGAGGAAGGCTGGAGAATAAAAAAGGTGGAAAAAAATGAGATTATGAAGGGCCTTAAATGCCAAGCCATGGAATTTGAACTTTATCACTACAAGGAATGGGAGGTCTGAGAAGTTCTTGAACAAAGAAATGACATGAACCCAGTTGTGCTTTAAGAAGCTTAAGCTGGAAGATAACTTGCACAAGGGGCAAGACCAGTGAGGTCAGCAGTCTGTACATGTGGTTCTTTATCACAACCTCTTTTATCAGTACAATGCCTGATAATTCAGACTGAATTATCAGAGAGAGGAGTAGGGCTTGGCTAGTGCATATTTAGGAAGCTCCCCAGAAGGCAGTGATGAATAATAGTCAGATTGGAGACTCTTGATCATAATAGCTCAGTAGGTGGGACCTGATGAAGGCTTGAGCCAACCCAGCTTGTCTCTTCCAGAGCAGAGCTATCCAAGAGAGACAGATGTGTGGCCCACTCTAACCATGCTTGAGGCTGGTTCCTGGGCAGCTGTCCAGATGGGTGATTGATTTCAGTGTGCAGGAGATCCTCTTTGTTTTCAAATTCTCTCACTAATGCCTAATTCCTTTCAGCAGATAACCTTGGTATCTGAGAATGGAACTCAACGTACATTCCGGCAAACCAAAAACAACACTGCTCAGAACAACCCACAAACACAGCCAACTGAGATTAGGCAGTAATGGGTGAGTGTGGGGTCCCCTGGAAGTTTCTCCCATGTCATGGGATCTGCGAAGGTTGCTAGTCTAAGTTTCTCAAGGGGGGAACTGAATTTCCAAGAAGCTAAGAGACTTGCTCCTACTCCATATTTTGTTGGTGGCAGAAGATGATCTTGCATCCTAGTCTCCCCACACCCTATCCAGGATTCTTTTCTCCTCTGCTAGGTTGATTTTTTGAGTGAGACATCTAAATCTGTGGATTGGAAACAGAGGACAGCAAATCAGAGTTAGTGCTCATTTAATACCAGTGCCTCAGTGACCTCTGTTCAGCCCTCAGGGAAGGAATCAACTGTCAGGTACAAAGCAAGGCTCACTGAATTTCTTGGAGATACAATAGCCTGTCATCGTCTAGGCTGCTGTACAAAGTTGTCTTCTAGACAATCATGGTAGCTTAGAATGAGACTCGAAATTCAGATAAACACAATCCTCAGCCAGGAGGGGACCTAAGAGGTCTGTGAGTGCTTATGAACACTGACCCTGAAGATTAGGGTCTTGACTCAGTCCACACAGTGACTTAGTTCTTTGTATACTAATATTAGGAAGGCCACGAAAATAACTAGAAATGTGTATTTCCTTCTGGTTAAACACGACAGATTGGATGTGCCTATTTACCTCTGCTTTCTTCTGATAGTTACTAAAATGAGAGTAAAGAAAGACAGGTTACAAATTTATAAGGATGAGAGGAATAGGAGAGGAGACAGCAATAGGCATATCATATCAACAACATCTTGGTAGATGGAAGGTGGTGATGAGAGACCCTTGAGGGAAGGAAGAATGGGGAGAGCTGAGGGCTAAGTAAAGTGGACAGAGCCATCAGAGACTGGTTGACATAATGTGGGGTCAATCAAGCTCATAATAGAAAAGCTGTAAAGGTAACGTGGGATGTGGTCGAACAAAGACTTGGTTTGTTAGAGGGCTTTGTATAAGAAACAACTAGATCTCCAGATCTTCCCATCCCCTCCCAATCCAGATGGAAGGCTGAGGGTCATTATCTGGAGAGGCTGAGCCAGAGAGGAGGTTCTGGATTCAAATCCACCAGGATCAGCTGTTGAGGAGGTCAAAGTGCTATGGAAGCATAAGATGAAGTGAAACTTTGCACACAGTGAGAGCCTAAGCTTTACTGGGCCCCCGAACAAAATTACTGGGTACTTGCCCAATCACTCTACAATGAGCCCCAAAGTTGGCAAACCCTTTCGGGCAGCTGGAACTCCCAATGAACTCTTTCATTCTGGCCCAAGTACAAAAGGGTAAACCAGAAGCAACAAACATTGGGTAAAAGTCTCCAACGTGAAAGAAAGAGACCCAAATGAAATGAAACCAAAGAGCAGCAGTAAAACAGAGAAAAGAAACTTGGAAGGAATGAGACATGCAGGTTGTGGAATAAAATGCCAATAACATATATTTTAGAGATAAAGCTAAGACGATATATAAAACACAAACAAGATGATAGAAAAGAGATGAACGAAGATGATAGAAAAGTAAATGTACTTGAAAACATAAAGTATGATCACTGAAATAAAAAGCTCAATAACAAGATTGCTAGATAAAGTTCAGAAAATCTATTCCATTTGTCTGAAACTCTAAAGTTATTGCAAACTAAAAAGTAAAACAAAAAAGTCCACGGGGAGAGAACATAAATATATCAATGAAGGATATGAATGGTATTAACAATTGATGTTAATAATGTATGAAATATATTACCATAAAATATAATACTATATTAAAATATATATAATAAAATATATTATAATGTCTGGCAATGGTACCATCTTTGAGAAATATATGTGGCAAAAACACAAAAGGAAGCTCTTGGTCTTTTCTCAATAAAACATTAAATGGCCCAGAGTTTAGATCCTAAAATATAAACTCTTGTAAGCAGTTGCTTCTGATCTTGGCTGTCTAACAGAATTAGAGGTCTGGTTAAAATGAGAAATGCTGGAGAGTATGACTCAGAAGGTTTGGCGTTGTGTCTAGTCCCTACTAACTTTTTTTTTCTCTCCTCAAATATACTGGAGTGGAGAAATAGCCTCAGCAAATTGTTCCCTGCAATGAAGAGCACACACAGTTTTGCCCAGCAGTGAGGAGAGATTTACATAACTTCAAGATACCTTGATTTTACCATCCACAGATTCATAGACCAGTAGGTAGCCGGTGACCGATGCCCGGGGAGGACGCCAAGTGAGGAGAGCAGTTTCTGACTGAACCTCAGTAGCAGTCAAGTCTCTTGGAGAATCAAGGTCTGGAGAAGACAATTGATATCAAAGAAGTCAGCAAGTTTAGGATGAGAATATCAAGAGGACTGGGTTCAAGTCCTTTCTTACCACAGATTGGTATGATCTTGAGCAAAAACCTTCCCAACTATAGAGGAGGAGGTTGAACCATGTGACCTCCAAAAACAAATTCTCTAAGGGTCATCTCATCCTGAAGCCAGGTTTCCACGAGCCTAACATGGTCCTGGTTGGCCTGGCTAGATTTGGGAAGAAAGGTACAGCTGTAAAGATCATTACTGACCTTTTGTTCCTAAATAAGAGCACACACGAGTGCTAATGTCCACCCTTACCTGGACAGAATGGTTCTCCTTTTCCCTGATTGCTGAAGTGTGTAAAGAAATCTCCATGCATAAACCCCCAATGGACATCTGGGAAAACTTGCCTGAAAAATCTTTTTCTTCAAAAAGATTTCCCTGCCTGGAGCATGGATCATTAAATGCTGACCAGTGGGGACTGTTTTTCCACTTAAAAAAGCCTCCATTTAAAATCTTTTCTCATTCATGGGGAGAACAAGCCATTTCAGTTCAAAAGGAAATGGTGTGTTCTTTTGGGTCTCCATGGAGTAGGCACTGGTGAATTTAGCTCACACTGATGTCACTGCATTGCAAGTGCCTGACTTCAGGAGGGAGAGCTGGTGAGGGTTTGGTGTTTCAGATGCAGGCTGTGGGTAGGCATCTCAGAAATGAGAGCCTCCACTCTTGGAATCATTTTACCTGTTGTGAACTTAGTAGTGATGGTAGAGCTCTTCTGGGGGCCTTTCTCCGCAAAGATTCTCAGTGTGTATTCTGTGGCAGGCTCAAGGTCAGCCAGTGCATATTCCACTGTGTTCCCGGACACCGTGCGTGTAATTTCTGGCACTAAACATGAAATACACATACCAAGGCAGTTACTTTTTGCTGTCTGAGCCATCGACCGAGTTGGCAAACAGTGCACACACCTCCTTCTAACCCAAAACCTTTCAGTGACCCTGCTGAAAGGCAGGTTTAAGTTCTGAGCTAATTCACCACCCCCTCTCCCCCACCACTCTTTCTTTCTCTTGAGCACTCACTTCACAGACAAAGGATAGATCCTATGAGGACTGGGTTTTTCCAGGCACCAGATCAGAAGAAGGGGAGTGAGGGGTCAGGAGATGTCTTTCCACATAGTATACTGGTTGGAACACTTTGTGGCTGAGGCACCAGACTGAGCTAAGGAGAGTTGTAGGTTGCATCCCAAGCCTTGGGCTACTTCAATTTAATTTGTCCTGTTGCTTGCTCCCTCTTCTTTTACCCCTACTCATACATACTTTTGTAAGTTACCAAATACTGTCAAATCAAGAATCACAAAATCCTTAAGTCTGAGGGTCACAATTATCATAAATACCCAGAGTCTGGGTATTGCCTCTCAGGTCACTAGGTCATTCATGTCCAATGGTGGAACAAGACCACAGTGTCTTGGTGAGTGTGTTTATCTCTTAATCATAGGGGACCAACCTCCTGGTCAAGGACTGGGGTTTCCCAGGTATGGAAGTTTTAGTGTTACAACTGGGAAAGTCTTTGGTAAACTGGACAAGTTGGTCACCTTACTGCATCACTGTAGGGAGCCTCCCTCCCCATTTTGGCCTATGCTCATGCTTATCCTGAATCCACAATTTCCATGATTCCTTCCAACCATAACTTGATTTGTTCTAGGTGAGGCAACGCCATCTTCCCTGCCTCAGAAGACTTTGTTCACAAAGAATAAGAATTAAGGAATAAAATGAATAAACCCATTTCTTCCTTCTGCCCTTTGCTCTGTCCTCACAAAGAACTTTCTCAGGTTATTGCCAGGGATGAATTAAAATTTTCAGGGGCCTAAGGCATGGGTATGGAACCATCTCATGTTGTAACTGAACGCACAATATCGAACAAATATAAAGCTTACACATTCTTGGAAATGGAAATAGCAGAATTCTTTCTAGTGTAGTTCATTACAAAATTATGCATGGGTTTATTGAAAAGAACTCTTTCTCCTCTCTCATTTGTATTTGATTTTACTTTCTTGTGGCTGTGGTTGACTGGTAGTCTACACAAGTGTTTAATTTGCACACTGGGTTAATTAGCCTAGGTGGTTGGGAAACAAATTTAAAAAAAATCAGATTTTTTCAGTCAAATTTTCTTCATCTGACTTCTGTGGAGTCTGAAAAACCCAGGCACCACAGGACTCTGGAATGAGAGCTTCTTCCTAGAGTGTGTGTCTCCTATGATAGTCAGGGAGACCAGCAGGAGACGAGGAACAAGCTAGGAAAATACATGTGGACTGGAGATGTACCCTCTTTGTTTGTTAGATGGCCTATCAGACTGTTGTGAGGTTGCAACTTAGAGCCACAAGGACATTACTGGCCTTTCCAACATACCCATGCATTTTTGTCACCCTGTACCAAACGTGGCATGAAGAAGAGAGAGGGGAAGAGTTTGCAGCAAGATACACACTAGAGTGAGGAGTCTTGGACAAGACCGTACCTCTCTCCCCTGTGTAGGAGATGACATAGTTGTCCACGGCAGCAATAGCTGGCTGCCACATTGCCAAAGCTTCTGAGTCAGTGATGTTGGCTATCACCAGGCTGGATGGGCCATCCAGAGCTGCAAAGAAAGATGGTGGGAAAGGGGCTGGTTATTATGGGGTGGACCTAGATCACAGCTACCCTGCTGTCTACATGTACTGCTTATGACTCCTGGTTCACATTGTCAGGTGTACAGAACCTGAGCCTGGAGCCAGGCTGACTCCTTCCTTTGTTGGTTGGGGTACTCTGGATCTCTAGCTCTGCTGTTTTTTTTTTCTTGGTGTTATTTTGATTTTCACATTGTATTATGGGTGGGAAGGTGCTGAACAATGCAGAACACCTGACAAGGATTATCAGCAGAGTTCATGACCCTTATCCCAGGGAAGGAACTGACACAGAGAGAGAGGAGACCTGCATGGCCAAGCTACTTGAGGCCTTTCTGGGCTTTGGGCGATGTCTCTGATTAGGGGACTTCTAGGCAATTTGGGCCAGGTTCTAGAGCCTACTGCTCTCAGGTTTGTTGTGGCTTCTTTACCTGTGCCTCTGTGCCCTTGGGGAAGTCACTTTACTTCCCCAGACTTCACTTTCTTTAGTTGTCAAGAGCAGCTACTGTAAGGATTGACTAGATGATGTATGTAAAACATACTGTGAGAACTCTAAGTAATTGCAGTTGTAATTAATATGTCTACTATTAAAGTTATTTGGCCTGTTACGCTAGCACTTGGGAGGCTGAGACAGGAGGACCATGAGTTTGAAGCCAACCAGGGCTACATGTTGAGACCCATCTCAAAAGAAAAAAACAAGATTATTTGGAATATTAGGTATGACTTTCAAATGACTTGTACTGAGAAAGAATATTCAAGGGACATTTATTCCTGGTCTCCCTGTTTTTTTTTTTTTATTTGTTTGGTTTTTTGAATTTGGATTTGAACTCAGGGCTTTGTGCTCATAGGCAGGTACTCTACCACTTGAACCACACCTCCTAGCCCTTTTTGTTCTGGTTATTTTGGAGGCAGGGTCTTACTTTCTGCCTGCACTGGCCAGGAACTGTGATCCTTCCAATCTCAGCCTCCTGTGTAACTTGGGGTGACAGGCATATGCCACCATACCCAGCTTTTTTCTTCTGTTGAGATAGGGGGGGTCTCATAAACTTTTTGCCTGGTTGGCCTCAAATCAAAATCCTCCTGATTACAGCCTCCTAAGTGGCTAGCATTATAGGCTTGAGTTACTGCAACCTGGCTCCCTGGCCTCTTTTAACCACTTTCCCTACTCAGTGTCCCTTTCTTGGAAGCCAACCTGAATTTCCCTCTATTTGGCTACTCCCATGATGGCCCAGGGAGATGAGGACCTGAGCCTACAGAGGTGAGAACTGCCTGAGAGTCAGGATGAGACAGAGCAATTTGGGGAGCCTGCATCATTCCCTCTGAATCCCTTCCTGTTTCATTGTGCTTTTACAGAATCTCCTTTAACTGGTGATGGCAATGGGGCCTTGGGAGGAAACACACCCAGCATTTGTGAATGGCTGCTGTGGACAATCATGAGGGAAAGTTTTCTTTGGGAAAACAGAGGCCTGTGTGGTGGGGTACACAGGACTCTAGGTTCAGATGGGATGTTTTAATTGTATATTATCAACTCTTTTGGGCAATCAGGATATTTTTAAAATTTCCTGTGGGGCCCATTCTTTGGATCCCTTAATGGATTGGGCTGGATAATTGCTAATATCTCAAAGGATAAATTGTCTAGAGACATAGATGCCGGAAGAGAAATTTTCCCTCAATGTGATTCATTATTTCCTATTTATATAGTACAGTGTACTGTACAAATCAGGTTTTATTAGGAAAATAACCTTTTACTTTAGAAGCACACAGGGTTTTCAGTCAGACTGACCTCTGTTCAAGCTTGGTCCCAACATTTACTAAATATGTGCTTTTGTAATTTCTCCATGTCTCAGGTATGTCTTCTGTAAGCTGGGAATGATGATTACATGTTCAGGGTTTCGCAACAGTGCCTGGAATGCAGTGCCAGAGAGAGAGCAGCTACTTTATAGCTGTTGCTCTCATATGTCATATGTCACAGCACTGCTGTGAGATCCTCACAACCATGCCAGGCAGTAGGTGGGGAAGGAAAGAGGTGGCAAGTGAAATTTCCCAATCAAGAAGGCAGGAATGAGTCCATTTTACAGAGAAAACTGGACTCCAAAGAAGGTGAATGGCAGCATATGTGGCTGGTAGGCGGTATAATTAGGATTTCAACCCAATTAGTATGACTCCCAAATTTGGGCTCTTGTTTTCACAATACTCCAGGCAATGGAGGCTGGAGGAGTTAAGGATGCCCCAAAGATTACTCAGCTCATAAGGGGCCAGAAATGAACTGAATTATAAGTCCAGTTCACTTTCCACTAGGATTTCATAAGTAAACCTTTCCCCAATTGCTGAGTCATGAACCAAAATGCTGCAGGCCAGGAGTCAAAGCATGTATGAGTGATGTTTGTAAAAAACAAAAGCAAAAGCAAAGGCCAACGCACCTGTGGTGAGTGACCCTGACACAGGGTCGCTTTCCTCGAAGCCCTTCATGGCGATGACACTGACATGGTACTCCATCCCAGGTGTGAGCTTCACCAGTTGGGTCTCAGTCTTGGTTCCATCCACCATCACCATGGAGGGTGCACCTGGAACACGGGGATGAAAGGTCAGAACTGGTGAACCTCACTGCGCTTAGCCACTGCAGCTTCAATACTGGGAGGATTCAGTTTGGAAATGAATTTATGTCTTTATCCAACTTCATTTTCTTAACTTCCTCTCATTTTCTCCCACCCTCTGGCATGAGGGAAAAGGCCTTACTTTTTGTATAATGCTTTTTCCATTGGTGCAGATGCCAAAAACCAACCCCAGGGAGAGAAAGACATGATGTCATAGCCTACTAAAAATGGCTGGCATGTTGTGCAGTTTTAATTTTCTTTAACTCCTCTCCCCAAGTATATGGAAAGCTTACTACATAATGTGTATCTGAACTATTTGACCCATTGACTTGTCTTCGGATTATATAAATTTACTTATTAGCAGATATTCTATTCACGATAAAAAGATGGTCAGATCATAGTCAAGTTTGTGCTCTTATAATTATTAGGAAGTCTAGATTTCTATTCCTTAGGATTTCAAGGCTGGTGAGGAGCTGATCAAACTCCTTGTGAAGATGCCATAGCATTCCAGTTACCGACCAACCCCTTTCTACACATCTTTACTAGCAGAGAGTTTACTACCTGATGGGATATCTTTAGGCAGATTTCATTGTACCTCCTCCCTGAGGTCTCCATTAGAGCCTATGGATTCTGAACTAGAACTCATAGCTCTGCTAAGTCTAACTCCCCATGCTATAGTGAGACAGATTTTTGTACCCAGGGAAAAACTCACACAAATCTAAGACTAGTTATTCAGTTGTTGTGCTCAGAGAGAAAAAGTCTAGCATATGTAGAATCTTTTGTCATTGTGTTCAAACAACACCAAGACTTATTTCTCACAGAGATTTTCAAGGCTGAAAAAGGTCTTAATAAGTTGACCTTTCTCAAGGTAGTTTCTCCCAAGGATCTTATAGAACTTAACAAATGAGGTCTCTCCAATGGTCTCAAAAATTAGGACTTTTGCTGGCCACAGGTTTGGGGGATGGGAATTATTAGGGTATTTTTTCACTGTTCCACCAGAACCCTCCACATTCCTCCTGACCCACTCCTCTTTGAGTGTCCTACCTCCTGTCATGGGCACATAGGTAATCCGGAAGCTTTCCACCTGAGCAGTTGGTGCCCTCCAGCTGACGGTGGCCGAGTTTTCAGTGATGTCTGAGAACATGATTTCCTTTGGCGAGCCCATGGCTATAATGGAGAAAATAGAAGAGAAATCCAGAAACAGTTAGCTCTCTTGTCCATCAATGATTTTTCTTGGACAATGGAGTGTGTAGAGTTTATATCTGAGTCACCAAACCTTTAGGATAGAGAATGTGTGATCTGTGGTCACATTGTGACATGATAGAAATATTTTTTTGATTCCAGGTACAGAGCCTGGGAGTAACCGACTGTCATTAGGCTTCACTCAAGGGGTGTTTTAACATCTCAGCAGGCTTCCATGGAGGAGAAGAAAGTGGTTTCACAGACTTGAATATGTTCCCCTATTTTTATTTTTAGCAATTTTCAAGTCTTTGCTTTCTAGTTTTATTAATTAATGCTAAGAATTGACAACTGTACAGTTATTTGTGACTTATAAGTCTTAATTCCCTCATAGAAACCCCCAAGAAGACTTGTTTATAACCACTATACAGGGGACCAAAGTCTCCATTCTCCAACTGACATTCCTGTGACTGGACCTTTCTATATTCCAGGACTGGGCAGCCAAACCAAGCACAGCCTGGGATCCTGGAAATGATATTCATTCAGAAAGTGATCTTGACCCACTTTTAGAACTGGAAGGAGATCCAAAGCCAGGGGAACATCAGGCCAACACCAAAGTAAACCCAGTGGACGTGGGGGTCTACCTGCTGGGAAACCCAGGCCCAGGGGTATTTTCTGCCCCTAAATTCCTCCCCTGCCATCCTGGTTTCCGTTGGCTTTTCTCTGTGTGTGTTTTGGCTTAGGTTTCTGCCTACTTCAGCTGACCATACTTAACTAGAGGATCAAGAAACAATTTTCAGGCTCTAGGGAGTCACTCCTCATCCTTTCCCCTCTTCAACCCATGTTGATCTTTAAGTTTGGAAACCCACAGAAATTTAGGGAGAGTTTTGTTTTTTGAATTTCTACGCATTTCTGTCTTTTTTTTTCTCATCTAAGACATCTCTCTCCTCCTACAACTTTCTTTTGTGACCTGGAACCACCCCCAGGCTCTGTGACTGCCTAGGTTTCTTTCCTGGCCATGGAAAGTTTTAAAAACCACATGGTCTCAGAAGCCTGCAAGATCTTGATTGTCTAAATGCCATAGGGAGGCTGGGTGGCCTGGGACAAGTCCCTTCACTTCTGTGGTCTTCAGTGGCTTATCTGCCAGTGGGGAATGTGGTACTTACCCACAGGAATGTTCTGAGGATTAGCAGAGATAATGGTGTGAAAACTCTAGCATAGCGTATGGCACATAGTGAAAATTCAGTAAATATAATTGTCCTATTTTCTTTCCCATGTGACCTTATCCTCCATGCCCACTTTGGATTATAAAGTATTTCCCAGGAAAGATCTAGATGAGACCAGCTGAGAGAAGATGCCTGGAGGTACATAAACTCAAGCCTAGAGGATCTTGGTCTGCCCACCTGGATCATTCTGACTGAACCTGTTGGTTAGTATAGGTTATGATACATTTTTTTGTCTTATAGTCAAATCTTTTTTTCTCTAGACCCTAGTTTTCTCATCTGCAAAGTGGCAATAATATCTGCCCTTTCTTAAGTGCCACAAGAATTAGTGGCCTCATCCTTTACACCCTCCTGGGAATACAATTCATAAACATGGTAGCAGGAAGATAGCCATTCCAAACTTGAAAGAATGGCACAATAGAGGTAGAATCTGGCACAATGGCCATGGTAGTTTTGAACCACAGAACTTCCTAGGCATTAAGAACACTTGTTATTCTAGTCTGTCCTTCTGCCATGAACAGGGCCCCCAGGTCTCCCTACAACAGACTAAAAAGTTGGAGAGACCCAGGAAGTAGGAAATATCTGCAGTTGCTAAAAACTCTTAAGGAGGCTGAAAAGAGCTTCTATTTGCTGTCTGCATAAAAATTTGCCTCCCCAAATCTGTAGTAAATGTTTTCCATTATGTGACAATTGACAATACTTTAAAAAAATTATTCAACATATTTTTATTGAACACACGATATGTTTTAGGTCTTGTGCTAAGTTAAGGAGACAGTGGCTGTAGTATTGTGGTTTGAGAGCAAGGATTTTGGAGCTAGACTAATGTGGGTTTGCCTGTGTCTTGGAGATTCTGTGAGGTGCCTGACAAAAAAGTGCCTCTAGATAGAGACACTGGGTGAAGGAACACAGTTTAATAAAGCCTCCAGTATATACTCTGGAATTTTTAATTAAGTAACCCATTAAAAATGAAATTTACAGTTGGGTATGGTGGTACATGCCTGTAATCCCAGTTAAGTGGGAGGCAGAGATAAGAGGATCACCACCTAGACAAAAACATTTAGTGAGATCCTAGTTCAAAAAACAAGCTGGGCACAGTGGCTTGAGCCTGTGATCCCAGCTACTTGAGATGGAAGTAGGAGGATCATGCTCTAAAGCTCACTAAAGCAAAAGCAGAAAACTGAGCTAAAAAGAAACTAAAGCAAAAAGAGCCAGAGGCTTAACTCAAGTGGTAAGAGCGCCTGCCTAGCAACCACGAAGCCCTGAGTTCTAACCCAAGTACCACAAAAATAAATAAATAAAATTTAGATTAAATCATAAAACATAGTAATAGCTAATATTGTCACTATGGGCAGGGAAATTGTGTTAAACTCTTGACATTCATGATCTTATTTAAATCTCATAACTAACCTTTGAGATAAAGTCTATTTTTTAGATGAGGGAAATGAGGCTTAGAGAAGCAAGGACACCTGTACACAGTCACATAGCTAAGACTTGGGAGAGACATGGTTAGACTCCAAGAGTATGCCTGGATACTCGGCAACACTGTTCTCTCTCTGCTGCTCTGGGCACTCAGGCTGGGCAGCTGGTGCCCCAGAAGGAGGAGTCTCAGTTCCTTATCAGAAGAGAGAGACAGGGCCTCACAGGACTGCTCACAAAGGTATGAGGCAGGGGAGAGAGCAGAGGAGAGAGGAGGAACAAACCAAAGGGAAACTTTCTTTTTTGGTAGCACTGGAGTTTGAACTCAGGGCCTCATGCTTGCTAGGCAGATGCTCTACCACTCAAAACACACCTCAGCTCAAAAGGGAAACCTTATGAAGCCAATGAGGTGAGGCCTCTGTTCTGCTTAGGTCTCTCTCCTGGTCTCTTGGGTCCTGGAGCACATGGATACAAACATGGGCAAATATATCCTCTGTCTCTCTCTCTTTCTCTTCTTCTTCCTTCTCTTTGGCTGTGAACTCCATTGACTCAGACAATGGGATCTACTTTTTCTTTTGTTCTTAATAAAAATAAAAACACAGCTCATGATTATTCACTCTTTTTCGCTTTAAAACTGCAGGGCTTCTATAAAAAAGATCAGCAAAACAAAACTAGTGATCAGAAGTAAACTTTAAAGAGCAGTGTTTATAAACCAAGGTCAACATCAGGCTCTGCCTCTGATCTGAAGCCATTTTATGGTCAGACACAGGGAAGAGGAGGCTGAGATCGGCTGCCTGGGACAGGGTGCCTGTGTGAGTAAGGAGCAGGGTTTTCCTCCATTAAATTGCTGCCTGAGTCCAGCGTTTTCAACACATCTAAAAAGCACTGGTTATGGTTTCTGTGGGTAGATTCCTGGAGCTTACTGTGTTCGGAAACTTGACATAATAAAATACCTGTCTTTATGCAAAAAGAGAGAGTTTAGGCTAATGTCAGGCTCTGTGCCTGTCAGAGATTGTGAGCAGGTACATTAATTGGTCTTCTGTCATCCCGTCTGCTTATATTTAGCAGTACTGGAATAATCTTGTCATTTGAGTTCTCTTCCAATTCTAGCTGTGTGACTTTTGGGAAATCACCTCACCTTTCTGGGCCTCACATTCTTTATGCACAAACAGAAGCGACTGAGCTACATCACTTCCCAGGTTCCTTTTGTGACCTCTGTGACTTTGTGATTCTTTCCTGGGCTTCTTTTGAAGCTGCTTCCTCTAGGGAGTGTATTTCTATGCCTCCCTCAGGAGAATGCACCTTACCTGTTGTAGGTCTTTCGTTTTTTTGCTCTGAAAAGTCAAGTAAGCCTTAGTATTATTATTATAGCCATGCTACTGACCATCTTTTATTTTTCTCTTTTATACTGAAAAAGGTTTCATTTCCCCTCTTGATGGCTTTTAGAGTCATTAAAAGTATCTAGTAGCTTCATGAAGGTCAGCCTTGCCAGCTCCTTCCTTGCTGATTACAGCTTTGGTTATTTACATGTTACATTTTACAAATATTAATTCTTACAGGTAGAGGTGTTATTTCTATATCATCCATCACCTAATGCAACTCGAACATGGCACCAAAGAACAAAGAATTATCAATCGTATCCCTGGATGAAATACCCTGAGATAATAGGTAGAAAAAAGAGTCCTTGGAATTTAAAAGTGTGATAATTGGCAAGAAGATGCTGCGTGGGAGACAGCGAGACAGCTGTCAGTGTCAGGCCCTCAGCTAAGGGCTTTGCATGGATTATCTCATTGAATCCTCACACCCTACTAGGTAAATGGCACCACGCTCTTTTTGCTAAAGACATAGCTACATTGTCCAGTAACACGGTCTGTAATTGAAAGAGCCAGTTTGAACCAGCTTATCTGTGTCCAAATCTCTTGTAATTTCCCAGTCCTGCAAGAAGTGCCTAGGTCATGACTTCTTTGTTCTCTCCTGTTTGTTTACAGTACCTGTGGTTGCTATGGCACTGACTGGCTGGGATCGTTTTCCATTGCTTATTCCATAGAGTTCAAGTTCATACTCAGTGGCCTCTCTGAGACCTGTTATGTCCCTGGTACGTTCAGGGGAAGAGAGGATTATTTCCTGTGGTTCAGATTGCCTTTTGGTATCTCTGATTCTGAGAACAAAACTGTCGAACATCCCTTCATCAGCTGTCCAGGATAGACGGAAACCGTCTGGGGTGGCATCTGAAACTAGAAGGTTGTCAACTTCTGGTTCAGCTTCTAGAAGGGGAAAAGAAAATGGTGGGAGAAGGAGGAAAGACATCATCATTGAGCAGCCCGTGCAATCTTCTTTCTGGTGGGGGTATCAATATGCAGTGATGCCCCGGCTTTCAGAAGTGGAAGTTGTCCTGAGATACCAAAAATAAAATTATTTGACATTAACAAGTTGGGTCAGGTGAGAAGGGGGAATGGTGGAGTTGACAATACAAGCTAAACAGATGCTTGCATCTGTGAGTTTTGTCCAAAAGCAATTCTATAAATCCACATCTGGACTCAACATTGGCCCCTCACATGCATTATTAAACAAGTTCAAAGCCAGTAACTTGTTTACAATTGCTCTCTGTCTTCCAGGGGCTTGAGTGCCCATCTGCTCTGGGACCTATTTCTTTTCTTTTTGAAAAGACAAATAAACCAACATTAACGATCTGTAGAACTGCTCTTGATGATTTTGCTGATTATACTTCCCTTGAGTCCAAGCAAAATGGCTTTTAAAATGTTATGGCCTTTTTGCTCTGTTCTTGGAGCTGATTTACTAAAGAAGGTTCCTATTCTTGACTTTCTTTCTTGTTTGATTTTCTTTTCTGTGATTTTAACCATTAGGTAAGCATTTAGATGGAAGAACTAAGGCTTGGAATCTCTTGAAACACATACACTTTGGACCTAGGTGTTCACCTTAGATTGCCTTAACTAGACAAAACTCAAGGTCAAGGTAAATTTGGAACTGAGTTTCCCAAAGTATGCTCAAAGCAAACTATTTCTGGTTGATCCTCTTCCTTAAAAGGTGTTCCTTGTCAAAGAAGTTTGGGAAATACTGCCCTCTGGGAGACACAATAGGATGTTCTGGATCCTGTTTCCAAACTTATTTGAACATGGAACTTCTTTACCAATTTGAATTGTCTGTGGAGCTAGTAATCTCTAGGAAGACTTTGGGAAACACAGGAATTTTAACTGTTAAAATTGTTAATATTTCCCAAGGAATTATTAGTCTTGAGAAAATTATGGATTTAGTCTTTGTCAAAAGGATCTCTCTGATATTAGTGTTTAACAATTGACTAAGTTCCAATTTAGTTTTCCAGTGACAAGAAACTGTGTAAGTTCATTAAGATCATGATGGAGACTTTGAGATGGTAAAGGTTGTAAATACATTTTCAAAATATACTCATTGGTATATTTCTTTTGAGAAGGCTGAAATGTAGCTGGGGACCAGGCAAGATGAACACAAGGAAAGGTGAATGGAGTAAGCATACGAGAACTATGGACAAGACATGGGTTGAAGTACTCAGGGAACCAAGTGGAAACATTTCGACCTTCTCGTTTCTGGAGCGGGAGTAGGGAGTGCTTGTTAGATACATAAGACAAGGGGGAGTGTGGGAAGCACATGAACGAACAGGCCGTATCCATGGATTAAGTAGGGCATAGGGACAAAGATGTTAAAATCATGGTGATTCTGTAGACAGACCACATGGAAAGGGGCCAGGAAAAAAGAGAATGGCTCACTTGAATTGAAATACCTGTAATAATTTCAGCCCTCAAGGGCTTGGTTTGGTGCCCTTGGGTGAAGCCAGAGACTGTAACCTCATAGCCAATGCCAGTTATGAGGCCTCTAAGCTCCAGCTTCCTCTGGGTTCCTGAAAGTGTGAATTCCTGGGGGTCCAGCAGCTTCCCAGAATCCACCACCGTTACTAGAAAGCTGTCAAAGGCATTCTCCGATGCCATCCAGGCCACTGTGAACCCGTAGGGATTAATGTCGGAAATGGTTAGGTTTTCCAGGAGGGGCAAGGCCTCTGAAAGAAGGGAGGAGTGAAAATGACTCAGGTTAGCAGCACTGACCCTAAGACAGAGCACGTTTCCAAGAACAGCGAGAGACACTCATTCAATCATTTCATGTGTTATAGGCTCAGAAAACGAATGTTTAGTAAGAATTTATCGAGTGCCAGATAGTGTTAGCTAGCTAGAGTAATTCTCTTAACAAGAGTTTGAAGTTGGTATCATTCCCATTTACAGGCGACAAAACCAAGTTTCAAAAAGGTTGACTGATTTGGCCAAAGTCACAAGCTAGTATGTGATGGAGCAAGGTTTTTAGCTGAGTCTGACTCTAAAGTCCACAGATTTTTCTTGAAGGAATAGGATGTCCTCTGTTGGGTTTGGACCTATTATCTACTTCTTACTGCTGGTTTTGAAATAAATTGGTTTTTATTTTTTTGCAAGTATATTTCCTTTTTTGGTATACTTCATGTGTTTCTATCCCAATTCTAGTTCACATTTTGAATTGAACCAATTAGTGACACATCCTCATAAGCTAACATAAAGGAAGGGAGTAAGTTTTTTCTTTTTTTAATCTTTTAAGATTAACAATTGATGTTTATGGACAAGTAAGGAATTCTAAGGATTGCTAATTCTTTTGCTGTTTATTTTCCTGGGTAAAGTTAGAAGACAAGGATGAATCTGGACCTTCAGTAAGTTCTGTTATCATTTTTTGTTCATTCAGTCACCAAACATTTGTCCCAGGTACTCTTCTTCCTCAGGTGGCAACAAGTCTTTTCGCATGTTGGGATTCCCAAAGGGTGAGCTTTTCTCAACTAAGCTTTTTCAATGCTTCTTAGCTGAGGAGGCTTCACATCCATCAGTCTATTTAATTATCACAATGATATCGTAAGGTAGGTATTGCTACCCAGTTCCCAACCTTTATGACATGGAAGGAAACAGAAAGGACATGACTTATCCAAGATCACACATCTACTAGGTGGCTAAGTCTGACTCCAAGTTCTGTATTTTTTCTACAATTCCAAGCCAATGATTAATCAGTAAATCCCATCGGGGATGGATTGATGGAAGGGGCCCAGCACCTCTTCTGCATTCTGAATGCTGAATGCATTCAGTTTTTATCAGAGGAAAAAAGGATGGGAATTCCACGGTCAAGGCTACTTTAGCAGGCAGCATCTAGATTAGAATTGTCTTTTCCATTGCAGTTTAATGGGAACTTGCAAAGAGATAAATGACCTTGCACTAATGCCCATGGTCAAATCCATGGGAAGTAGAGAAAACTGTTGAAAAGTAGCATTTGGTGACTAAGTGAACAAATGCCCTCTTCCCTAAGCAGAGACTTCCTGTACTTATTTTGAAACACTTGAGGTTTATTTTGCGGCATTTTTTTCATATAAAGATTTCCCAAGAATCATAACTCTATCAAGGGCAAAGATGCAATCACATACACTGTGCAAACAGTCTTCGAGGTCTGTAAGACAAGTGTCTCAAGTTCTGTGGCTGGTTTTGTTTAGATAAGTGGTGCCCGCCCTTCTTTGATAGCTGGCTTTGCACTTCCAAGCCATCCAAGCAGGGAATTCCAATGAAAATGAAGGCTTTCAGGCTAATTAGTCAATCAAAGGCTTGTTTTTTCCCCCTAGTCCCTCCAGTTCATTTTTTCTTTCTTTTTTTAAATGCTTCTTTTAAAATACAATCTTTTCATATCATGGATTAACAGAGACAATATTGTAACCAGATCTAGGATTCCTGACACCAGGTTTTCTCAGCCTCCCTTTCTTCTTCACTCTGTGGGAGGTCCTGATGGAGATTACAAGTAATTGCCGGTTGAAACCTATGGCCATGCCTGTCCTCCTCTTCTCCGGGCAGGGAGACAGTCATCTCATAACTACCTGTCAAGAAATTTCTATATCCTGCCTTTGAAAGCTGATCTAAATAATTTAATTCACATTTGATAACTGTACAGAAAAAATAGCCATTTCTTAATCTTACAGTAAAATATATCCAATGGTATCTTGTAAATAATAGAGAAGTTGTAATTGCATAGCTCTACTTATCTATGCTTGTTAGTTATTACATTTATTTATTTGCAGTGTTGAGGATTGAACCCAAAGCCTCCTGCATGCTAAGCAAGCACTCTATTACTGAGCTACACCCCCAGCCTCCTTGGTTATTTTTTAAGAACACCACTTTACTCTTTCTGTTGGGAGAAAGCAGAAATGACTTAGCGTCAGTAAAATATCCACTAGTTGCCAGGCAATTACATTTCATCACATCTGCTTAATCCCTAAGACAGGATGCCAGGGGCAACTGTGGGTGTCCTCTTTCCAAATATAAGGAAATTAGAGTTCAAACAAGTTAGGAACTTACCAAGGATATGTAGCTAAGAAGACATGGGAAGGTTTAGAAACCACCCAGGCTTGATCTCAAGATTTTTACACTTCCTGGATACCATACTGCTTCCAAGTACATATTTAATTGTATGATTAACCTATTTTACTTATAGCAATTTACACCCTAGAAGAGACTTGTTAACTATGAAAGTCAGATGGCAAAGTCCATTTTCAGAAAGTTTTCATTCCTGGAAGACAAGTGACTTCTATTTTCTGAGGGTTTTTTCAAGGTAGGGATTTGATTAACTGACACCATTTTCAGTTTTTACCACTGACTTAAGAGAATGTAAGTATAGAAAATAGATAATCATTTCCTCTCGCAATTCACGGAAAAGTTAGAAGTCAAGTTTAATCAATGCCTATGGTTTAATTAACCTTAGAATTTACCTTTCTTCCTAGGTTTAAACTCATCAATATATTGTGCTTGGCAGATAAAGAATAGATTTTCTTTTTTAAGGAAAGAAATCATATTATTATATTTCCAGCATGCATAGTTTATGAACTATCTTACCTAGTGCCATTTATAGACAAAATACTAACTTAGAATTCATTTTTTGTTGCTTTGTTTTCTTGGCAGTACTGGGGTTGGAACTAAGCCTACCTTGCTTGGCAGGTGCTCTACCACTTGAGCCACACCTCTAGCCCTTTTTGCTTTGGTTATTTTTGAGATAGGGTCTTGCTTTTTTTCTGGGTCAACCTGAATGATCCTCCTGTTTATGCTTCCTGTGGTAGCTTGGATGAGAGGTGTGCACCCAACTATTGGTTGAGATGGGGTCTCATGAATATTCTGCCTGGCCTGGCCTGGAAGCACGATCCTTCTCATCTCTGTACCCCAATTAGCTAGGATAACAGGCACGAACCCCTGGTGCACAACTGGAATTCACTCTTTAGCCAGAATCTCCAACTTGTGAAAAAGGTAGCCTGTAAAACTGGCCATAAAATCCCTGAAAGTTTTAACAACTGTGGGGAATATTGTTTCTCCTTCCTAAGAGTGGCTCTGAAGGAGTGTCAGTTCTCTTTGTTTAGAACTTTTACCTCTGGCATCTTGGCTATTGTGAATTATGTTACTCTGAAACTAAGCGCCCATTAATGGGTGACTGCACAAAGAAAATGTGGTAAATACACATAACGGAGTATTACACAGACTTAAAAAGGAAATTCTGTCACTTGTAAACTACATAGATGAACTTGGAAGACACTGTGCTAACTGAAACAAGCCAGGCACAGAAAGAAAAACACTGCACGACATCACTTTTATGAGGAATCTAAAAACATTGAATTCATGGACATAGAGGAAAATGGTAGTTATCAGAGGCTTGGGTTGGGGGGTGGGTAGGGAAAAGAAAGATGTGATCCAAGAGTACAAAGTTTAGTTAGATGGGAGAAATAAGTTTTAGTGAGCTAACATACAGCATATTAATCACAGCTAATAGCAATGATTTGCATGTGTCAAAATTGCTGAAAGAGTAGATTTTAAATGTTCATTCTCACCACAAAAAAAGCAGGTGAGGTTGTTGATATATTAATTTAACTATTCTACAATATATACATATAGTAAGAGATCCTTTTCACAAATACAATTATTGCCTGTCAATTAAAAATAAAAATAAAGACATTTACATTTAGAGTGAAGACTGTGTTTTGGATTGACTTTTCCTTTAGAATGCCTTTCTGTTTTCCCCCTTCCCCATGTCAGGATTCTAAACAGACAAGCATGAACCTTTGAGTACCTGTAATGACAAAGGCCGTGAGGGGTCTTGTGGGGTTGCCAGCCCAGGTGGTCCCTGCCACACTAACATCATAGCCCGTGTCCTCCACCAAGCCTGTGATGTGAGCTTGCTCTGTGTCTCCTGGGACTGTGAACAGCTGGGATTCATGCAGGGAGTGAGCATGGCTGACATTGATAACAATCTTTGCAAAAAACCCAGCTTGAGCTGCCCAGGACACGTTGAAGCTGTCAGAAGTAATATTGCTAAGGATTAGCATGCCCAACTGTGGCTCTGGCTCTGAAGGGAAAGGAACATGGACACAGAGAGAGAGACATTATTATAAGAAGCAGCAGAATTCTCTAGAATGTTGCCACAGAAAAATGAATGCATCAGTAGCTCCAAATGTTTGCAGAAAAGACAGTGTATTATGCTGCATCTACACCAGAATTAATTATAATGACTGAGAATATATTCACTTTTCTGTAGGCATGGATTTGTGTTCTTTTAAAACACAGGCATGCCATTTGCAGTCATGTATGAAGAAAAGTAAACGAGCCATTAGAGCAGTGAATAGGATTCATATAAAGGGTATTATGGATACATTTTCCAACATCTGTGATGGGACACCAGTCCTATAAGATGTTCTAAGAAAAGACAGCTTCGTGGTGAGGTGTGCATTGTAAACACTGAATACTGTATTTTACCATAAAGATTCACAGAGCACACTAGCATTTTAAAACCTCTACTGGGCCAATTCTGAAAATAAATTATTTAATTTTGCTTACCTAGCATTTCATAAATGTATTGACTAATGAATACTCTATCTTAGAACTATCTTTGAACATTTCAAAGAGCTGGTGCTCCACTGAGCATGCTTTAGAAAAATGTTTCTTTGGATTGTACAAATTAAAGGCTAGTGACCATGTATGAAAAATTCTCTAATGGCAGTTGGAAACTCAAATGTATGTATCATAAGAAAATCTATATTTCACTCTAAATACTGCTAAGGTGAAGATGGTTCTCACTAAAAAATTCCTGGTGGATGCAAAAGCTAGGGGGAAACTTTAAGTTAAGCATTACATTTTCTGATTGAAGAATTTACTTGTTGGATAAATCAGAAAGATGGATGATTCCACTGAGGTTAACTTTCTCTTGTCCTTTAAAGTCTAGACAATTAGTGATGAGAGTAACTCATTTAGTGTAAGGGGCCTATGTGGCTAGTTTCAACTGAGATATACATGGGGCTGTCTTAAATGCTCATTTTTCAAATAATTAAATTCAGTCCAGATTATAGTTTAGAGAGGCAATAGTCCTGGAGGATTGAGATACTAGCAGTAAGATTTAGGGCTGGGAAGAGGCAGACTGTTTCTCCTAAGGACTTTGGAGTTGTTTTGCTTTAGCTCCAGTAACTGGAGGAGAGATGGGGTTCATTTAGATAAACTTTAAGTGTACAACTTGGTGCTCTAAAATCTCTAAGGACAAAAGGTTCAGAAGTAGAATACAGCCATAGCAATGACATAGAATTATTTATCAATTAATTGGAGAAGCTACTGATGCTACAGTTTTCAGCTACAGCACTGGCAAATTTCTATGACCACACAAAGGATAAAATCCCCCAAGTAGAACTCTATCTTTTCCCTGTAATTTGCTCTAACAGTAGTCTCCTGAATTAAGGACGCATTATGGGGTTCTTCTCATGCCATCAAAGACTAGCCATGCCAGCACATTCATCATGCAGAATAAGACCTGGGTTTTTGAGGTTGGCTTTCTCTTCAACCAACTTCCAGAGTATACAACCACATTGAAATGTGAGATACCAAGAAACAACTCAGAAAGAGGATGCTAGTTAGGGTGTTGTCAGTATTCCATGCAAGCAAGGGACATTAGGACTCCCCCCACCACACACACAGAGACTTCTAACCCATTGAGACATTTTCTTGACATGCTATCTGCTTCTAGAAAAGATAGATGTGTTCAAAAATTTAATGCTCTAAATATTCACCACATGCACCAAGATTTTGACATGATGGATGGAAAAAAGATTCTGACACAATGGAACAGATGTCAGTGAGTGATAATACATGCTTGACACAGTAAATGTCAAAAAAGTGTTGTCAGTCTGTAGGAAATCCAGACAGAAGAAAATCACAAGAATGAGATGAGACCACTGTGGGATCTTCTTATGTGGGTCTTGGGTTGTGATTTAGGGTCTCTTTTCAGCATGCTGGCAGCAACATTATTTAAAACCCTAGTAGATAGAAAGAGACTGTAGACCATTCTGGCATGCACACATTTTTTTGAATGTGACACTGGCAAACTTTGATTAGAAAGCCCACAGACAGATGATAATGAGTGGTACTGGAAAAGATTATTCAAGATCAGATGCAAGAATGGTTTAGAACTTCAACAAAGCAAGTCACGTTAATTCTAAACAAATAGAGCAAATCCAGATGGGAGTGAATATTTTTGAAAAAGAGGTTGGACACTAAGTTCCTTGGACACTGAGTGTGGGGTGAGGGTGGTTTGAAAGCTTTCAAACTCTGATTAGGTTGGCTCTATCAAATTTGAGAGGGATCCAGTGGAACTAGGAGGATGGCAAATGAACAGTGGTTATTTTTTAGAATACTGTCCAGAGGAAGTTCAATGGAGAGTGAAAAGCCCATAGAGGGAAATACCTGTGGTTACTTGGACCATCAGGGTTTGAGCTCACTGCCCAACAATCAGCCCATGAAGATAGGCAGTGTAATAAGAAGAAGCTTTGAGTTGGTGATGAGAGAGCGGCAGGAGGCCCCAGGCACAGAGTATACCAGTGTATCCTAGGGGTGGTCAGAATTACTAACTTCTATAAGAAAGTTATCAAAGACGGGCTCCTGAGACTTCCACGAGATGGACACACTGCCCCAGGTCACACTTGAGACAGTAAGATGGCTAAGGAGAGGTTTGGCTGCTACAGCAAGAAGATAACACAGGAAAGCATGTCAATTTACATCACCATTGTAGTTCAAAATCAAAACACAGAAGACTAAATCCATAATGTTTTTGACTCTAAATGTTCCAGGAAAGGAACATGTCCTTTGTTGAAATCCAATTTGAATCAAGTTTATGTTTGACTAATTTTCTCCCCTTGGTGTTACACATTAATCTGGCTGAGCTGGGAACCAAGATATTGTTGGCTCCAGGCTTTTGTAGGGACCATGTGGATAACAACTTGTCATACATACATAGAATGAAGACAGACTCTCTGTCAACCATGGATGACCTAATTGATAGATAATTTTGATACTACAATGTCAGTCTTTTTCTCAGAAAATGGGCTTCCTTTTCCCAAACACTAAGGAAACTTCTGTTTCTTGCACAGATACATTTCTTGCTCAGTTTGTGATGTCTTAGGTAAGAGTAGACATTGCCCGTGTGCTAAGAAAGCTATTTTGAATGAACAAAGCTGTCTTTTCTAAATTCACATGGGACTCTCTTTTAACTGCATGGTAGATGGCATCTGGCATAATATATACGTCACAGACACCACAAATTCAAAGT